GAGCACGGGAAGTACATCGAGCTCTGCTTCACAGCAGACATGTCCAAAGTCGTCCTGTCCGAGCAGCAACGCCGATTGTTGGATGGCAGCAGCGTCACAACTATGCGAGTATACGTTAGTGCTGCTTCCAAACGTGCCGTGGTCGTCAAGGAAGACGATCTACTCACGAAGGCCGACGTCAAAGCAAATCCGGTCAAAGTTTCCAAAGCCCTTTACACAGAATTGAAGACTTGGCTTGACAACAAATGCTTCCAGATGACTGACTTGAGCAAAGCGTCTAATATCATGACTTCACGCTACGTATACAAATGGAAGTTTGTCAAGAACGAAAAGGGCGAAATGGAAAGGACGATTAGGTTACGCTTGGTACTCCGTGGCTTCATGGACCTTGAAGCCTTTGATGTCGAAACCTTCTCTGGCACGGCAAGGAGGTCAAGCCAGAGACTGCTCGCAAGTTCTGCTGCATGCAACAAAGCTTGGATCATCGCTTCCCTGGACATCAACATGGCTTTCTTGAAGGGACTGACCTATAGCGAGCTCGCCGCGGCAACGGGCGAGAAAGAGCGTGTGGTGTGCTTCACACTACCTCCTGGGTCAGCAGCTGTCCTTCGCACACTGCCAGGCTTTGAGTCATATGACGAATCAAAGCATTGTCTTCGGTGTCTGAAGCCGGGGACGGGCACGAAGGATGCTCCCAGGGCATTCTCGTTGAAGCTCAGGTCCATCACTAGGAGCTTTGGGCTACAGCCTACTTCATACGACGAAGAGTTCGAGATGAGCCCAAACCTCTTGACAGCCAAACACGTTGATGACATCAATATGACCGGGAAGGAAGATGCTATTGACAAGTATGTCAAGTGTGTTGAAGATACGTTTGGAAAGTGCAAACTGAACAAGCATACATACACAAACTGTGCCGTTCGGTACAACAAGACCGATGATGGGAGCGTCACTCTTGATCAGGACGAATACATCAAACAGCTCGTCCTATCACACATCCAGAACTCACAGGAGCTGATCCTGAGAGCAAAGCGACAAAGACGATTTCTGACATGTTCGTCAGTCTTCGTGGCGCTCTAGCCTATGCGTTGATCACGCAGGTATGGCTGATGGTCTATGTTGTCTCACTACAACGTATCCAGGAACCGACAAACATCCAGGTACGACGACTAAACGCGGTTACCAGGAAACTACAGGCAGGTCCGAAGAAGATCGTGTATCAAGCTATGACTCCAACAGGAGAAGTTGACCTGCATAGCGATTCTGGCTATCGCCGTCTCAATGGAGATGAAGACGACGAAGTCAAAGGCTATGGTATCCGCGGGGCTAACCTGCTGAGGCGTGGCCACACGCAAGCGGGGAAACCCGTCGTGCACCTGGTGGACGCATACTGCAAGTCTCATCGACTGCAGGTGCGTTCGAGCTACTCTGCGGAAACACTGGCAGCAGCCCACAACTTGGAAGACTGCTACCCGACCATTGTAACGCTCCACGAGCTACACTCGGGACCATTGACCCCCACACAGTTAAAGAACATATTGGAAATGGGTGGTCTATGTATCAAAGTCACTCTGACTATTGATGCCGAGTCTGTCTTCAAGTCTTTGTCTAGCAAAGATCTGAAGAAGCCCACAGAATGTACTCTGCTTGGGCACATTAGCTGGATCCGCCAGATGATGGAGCGCGGAATCGTTGAAAGCGTTCAATGGTGTGACACGCGGGATATGACTGCCGATGGTCATACCAAAGGTAGCATTGACCGCGCGTTGCTCCTACAAGTAATGGCCGGCCAGCAATCCTTCAAGCACGAGCTGAAGAAACATACACCGTATAGGGCGGGCAGGTCGTCTCAGGACGGCCCTGCCTCCCGAGCTAGCGGGGAAACCCGCGTGCAGGTGCGCTCTAGTAGCGAGGAAACTCGCCGGTAGCGAGGCTACTCGCGCGCCCTTGCCTTGTAGGCAGCCGCTGCTGCTTAGCACTGTTTTTTCCGCGTAATGTAGAAGTGCGGTGCCTGCTCGTCTCCTCCCCCTCCGACTTTAAACGGAGAAGGTTAAAGGCGAGGTATAAATCGAGCATGTACCGCTGCCGTGCCTGGCTCAAGCCGGGCCCGGCCAAATATGTGATTGTGCCTCACCGAGGCGCACGACTTGTATCTGAGATCGGAAAATACCTTTTCCATTGACGATGCCCATCCTATCCTTTACTCCAGATCCCATGCTTCGTCTTGCTCTCTTGCTCATGCGATATGAGCCAAAGCCTGGGATATGGCAACGCTTAAAGCGTAACACATACCTAAGCTTACCAGCTTGTTTTCGACTGGGATTCCTCCACCGCTTCCTTCACGGCGTTCCCGTCCCCTACAGTCTCGACCTTTCCACTGTTGCCAGTATTATGTCACCTTTGATCCTGACGACGCCCTTTTCCCAGAATATTCGCATGTCGTGCTGTCTGCGCTCTTTGTGTTCAGCAAAAACGTTTTGCTGACACTCCGTTCTCGCGCGTTTTGTTGACGTTGAACCACATCTGGGTTTAAGAGGTCAACTCTTTTGGCTCGCCCCCCTTGTCTTCACATATGTATTCTTCATTTCTGTACCCTCAAACTCTATTACCCCAAGTCTGGAAGGATCACTGAGCGCGCGCATGGTTGATACCTTATCTCTCATGCCATCTTCTATCCATGTCTTGCATTTGCTTGATACTATTGCCCTTTCCTCATCGTTTTCCAATCTCCCTGTTAGTACTTGGAGCTCCCTGTCTTCACCTGGAAGATTGTGTGTGTGTGGGGGAGTTCGAGTATCATTAGTTTTCATGTGTTTTCCAATGGCTTCTTGTACAAACTGTTTGAGGAAGGGGAGAACGGGCAGAATAATGAGGGGACGATAAGGCGTTCGGATGATACTGATGCTGATGATGCTGCTGATGATGATGCTCCTGATGATGACGATGATGATGATGGTGAGGAGGAGGTGGAGGTTGAGGAGGAGGAGGAGGATTCAGAGGAGGAGGAGAAGGAGGAGGAGGAGGAGGTGGGGAGGACAGAGGGAGAGTTGAATCATGATAATGGTAGTGGGAGTATGAGAGGGAGGATGAGGACCAGTGTAAGCCCAAGACTCATCAACGATGTTGCAATGAGCCCTCCCTCCAAGTTCCCTCATAGAACCCTTGAAGAAATTATTTTCAATGCGGGAAGTGGCCCATTAGAAGATGACAGGCTGAGAATCCTCAGCCGTGCCAAAACACCATTCGTGGGACTTTAAGGCCGCGGATCAACTTGACAGTTGCGTCCTGACAGTCCTAAATCGTGCCAGAAAACCATTCCCGGGCTTCTAGACATCGCGAATCAACGTGACTGTGGCATCCTGACAATCCGTGCCAGAACATAATTTCTCGGATGCCATCCATGCGAATCTCTTGAAATTGTCGCAACCTTCTTTGCACGTATGTGCGCGGCCCTAAAGCGAGAACCAACCGCCCTACATCGTTGAATCCTCTTCTTGCAAACTTGTAAGACGAATGTGCACGATGCCAAAAGGCGAGAGCAACATGTTCAACATGATTTATCTTCCATCCGTGAAAATTTTGCAAATGTTCAAGACGAGTTTGCGCGGCGCTAAGGTGAGAACCACGTTTTGAAAACTGGACGCCCTCCATCCGTGAAGCGGTTGTACATTCTTAAGACGAGTGTGCGCGACACGAAGGTGAGAACCGCATTTTGAAAACCACCCACCTCCCATCCGTGAAACTGTTGCGAATTTCAAGATTAGGGGTCATGAGCGATGAGGAAGTCCGAAGCGAGACGCCGCCCACAAAGCTCTCGGCAAAGCCGGGCCCCAGGCTTTTGCCATCTATGGGGCTCGAGTCTCCGCCAGGCGGCGAGCTGCCATCTGGAACTGCCATGTGGCCTCGCTCGTGCCCTTCCCGGCCTACTACGTCATGCTCAGCCGCCGACAGGAGGTCATTGTGCGGACTCACCTCTGGGTCGCCCTTGGCGTTGCCGGCGTCAGGTATGTTCCCCTCGCCCTGCTCGCGGGGCTGGGACCATGCTTCCAGATTCTAGGTGCACCTCGCTTGCGACAGCACGCGCTGTTGCTACCTTATGCCTTCGCGCGTTATGACTTCTGGGGACCCCCACCACCGACACGTCTGGGGGTGCGACAGGGAGGAGGTATTTATAAGGAAAAGGGGCGGAGGACGAGGAGGAGGAGGAGGAGGAGGAGAAGGAGGAGGAAGAGTCGTGCGGGGCTAAGACAAGGATAAACCCGTTCGAGGAGGCCGCGGTGCCCGAGTCATCCTCCAGAGCCACCGGATCTCAGAGATTCTCGATTTACTCTCACCCGATTTTGTCCGCGTCCTGGCTTCGTCTTGAAGAGGAAGAGGGGCAGGCCTCAGACGCGTCGAAATGCCCAAATGCGGTCGGAACGGACATGCGGGATCGGAAGGTACAGCTGCGAGGCCCGCAGAGCCATCGGGACTCAGCGGCCAAAAGAGACCCGGGTACTCAGAGCCGTCGAGGCTGACAGGGCACCAGGACCGCGGCCTGGAGTTGCCAGGGGTTCGGAAGGGAGAGGGGCATAGGGATTTCGGGAGGAAGATCTAGGAAAAAGGAAGAGGAGGAACACGCTCGGAGGAGGAGGAGGAATCGGAGCGGGAGCAGGAGGATGAGGAGGAGGATGAGGAGGAGGAGGAGGAGGTCTCGGAGCGGGAGCAGGAGGAGGAGGAGGAGGAGCAGGAGGAGGAGGAGCAGGGGGAGAAGGACCAGGAGGAGGAGGAGCAGGAGGAGTGGCAGGAGGAGCAGCAGCAGTGGAGGGGAGGGGGGAGAACGAGGAGGAGGAGGGGGACGAGGAGAGCGCTTTGTATGCATTCGGCTCCGGGAATGCGGCGGGCGGCTGGCGCGGCGAAGCAGCGCTGCCGCCTCCCCCCGTGCTCTGCTGCACTGAGCCGCCGAGCCGCCGCCGCAGCCCAGGGAGCGGGCGCCCCGTGGCGCTGGGAGCGCGGGGGCGATGGCGGCCGCCGGGTCGGATGCGAAGGTCGAGGCCGAAGATCGGCGGCGGGCCCAGGGGGGCAGTGAGACGGGGTGGGCCCTCTGACGAGGCTCGGAAGTCACCGGGCCTTCCGAGAAGTTCCGTAATTGGGCCTTCTCCGGAGACACAGGGGGCTTCTCTGAGGGCGCGTGGGCTTTGAGAGGTTCCGCCGCCTTCTGAGAGGGCCTTCTCCTTCTCACTTCCTCCCCTCGCTCGCCGCCGAGAAGAGCCGCCGCCCCGGGCCGCCCTCCGCTGTCGTCGTTGTCGTCTCGTCGTCGTCGCCCTTCCCGGTGCGCCGCCGACCGTGGCGCAGGCCGCGTCGTGCAAGCGTCGCCACGCGCCCGCCCGCGGGTTTTACATCTGCCAGAAATGGATGTGGAGGAGGTATCCAGCTGCCTGAGGCAAGTTCCGTCACCGTGTACGCCTAGCATTCTTGGTGGCGACTGTCTGAGAGGGCACGGGGGGCCGTCACGTGTGGCACACTCCAGACTTGGGAGAGCAGTGATGTGGATGATGAGGGTAATGAGGATGATAGGGATTGTGTTGTTGATGGTGATGACGACGAGGATGATGATGCTGATGCTGCTGCTGCTGCTGCTGATCGTGGTGATGATGAGGATGACGATTATGATAACTATTAGCAGGAAGAGGGTGAGGATGATGATGATGATGATGATGATGATGATGATGATGATGATGATGATGATGATGATGATGATGATGATGATGATGATGATGATGATGATGATGATGATGATGATGATGATGATGATGATGATGATGATGATGATGATGATGATGATGATGATGATGGTGATGGTGATGGTGATGGTGATGATGCTGATGCTGATGCTGATGCTGATGCTGCTGCTGATGATGATGATGATGAGGAGGAGGAGGAGGAGGAGGAGGAGTAGGAGGAGTAGGAGGAGGAGCAGGAGGAGGAGGAGGAGGAGGAGGGGGGAGGGCATGTCTCACCTTTGGTGTTCACTATCTGTGGAGCTCTTAAGGAACTTGTTTGGGCCGTCTTGGGGTTGTCATGGCCTCCCGTGAGACAGTCTTGGCGGTCCCTCAGAGTCATACAGTGGGGGTCCTTGGGACAGCACAGGCTCAGTCTCCAGTCTCCAGTTCCTCTTGGGTCGTCTTGGGGCCCCCTTACGTCGTCTTGGAGCTCTCGCTCGGGCCGTCCTGGGGCCATTTTTGCCGTATGGCGGGTGTCTAGGGGCCGTCGTGGGTCAGTTTTGGATTGTCGGAGGGCCTTCAAGGCCGTCTTGGGTTTCACGGGAGGCCCTCTTGGGACATCTTGGGGCCGTCTCGAATGCCTCTTGTGCCATCGTCGTTTTCTTCTTGGGCCATCTTGAGACCCTTCTGGTGGCATGTTAGGCTGTCTTGGGGTTATCGGGGACGCTTCTTGGGCCATCTTGAGCTGACGGAAGCCCGCAAATGCGAGAATGCGAATCCCATTCAGAAACCCATGGGAAGTCAATGTTGTTACCTTCTTCGGGCCCTGTTGTTCCTCTTGTGGTCCTTTTGGGCCTTCTTGGATGCGCCTCGGGCCGTCCTGGGGCCATATTCGGTTGCCTTGGGACCATTTTGGGCCGTCTTTGAGGCAACTTGTGCAATCTTGGTATCTTGGTCGCCTGCATGGACCGTCTTGGAAGCTCGGGACGCAGATCCATCGTTTTTACCGAGGGTTCGTGGACTCGGGTCATGGCCACGGGAGGAAAAGGGGGTGCACGCAGCGGTCTGCTACTTACTTGAATGCAGAACCTTCCCAGACAGCATGTGACATTCTAGCACGCTTCAACGTGTCAGGGGGTACGGATGCGGATACAACATTCTCACCCAAGAAGGGTGGGGGGTGGTAGTACGAATTGATCAAACAAAGTTCCTGAAGTCTACGGTGATCTGCAATATGGATGAGAACAACGACATTTGATGATGTATTCGCACCGCACGCATAGTAGCTCAAGGGCCCGTGGTACAGTTTATCCCTCACATGCTGCTCCGCACCTGTACCTGCACCTGCTGCTACACCGTGCACGATGTACGGCGCACATCTCACACCCCCGAGAAGGTCCTGAGAGAGTGAAACGAATCTCACACAATATGAACTCACAGCCGCAGGCTGAAAAGACTGTGAAGCGCAGCAGTGCAGACACGGAACACGCACACGCCCAGCTGGCCGGCTCCGCCTGGCGAGGCCGCACGCGGATGCGTGGCTGCACCTTCTCGGCAGTGGCCTCGCCCGCCCGGGCGAGCCCCTGCGTGGAGTGCACGAACCGCCATTGGTCATCGCTGAGCTTGTGGGTACTCATGCTCTGTGTGCCAACCGTCCGTTGGTCTCCTCCGACCTTGCTGCCATGCCGCCGGGCATGTTGTTGTAGTGGTGCTGCTCAGGCTTGTCGCTCTTCTTTTCGTGGCAGGTCATTGCCTAGGCCTTCTGGTCGCTCTCGCCCTCGAAGTCGTTCTTGGCGTTCTGCTGGATACCAGCCTCCAGTTTGATATACATGAGCTCCATGTCGTACTTCGACTTGTTGAATTTGTTGATGATCGGCCATGCCATGACCGTTCCAAGTGGCAGCGCGATGATTGCAATCCAGGGCACGGAAATCTCGTTCCTGATCTCCTTGCCAGTTTCGGCCGCTGCTCTGAAGCAACACGTTGAAATACTGCCAGCTGCATGAATGGTGTCTTCGCCGGTCTCGTCGCTGATGATGTGGCTGCTCGCGTCTGGTCGATGCTCTCCTGTTGCTCCTCCCTGGTCTTTCTCGTGGCTGCCGTGTGGGTCGGGTCGTGCGTCAGCTTCCAGCGTAAATACCGTAGTGGGTCCGCGAAGAGCTACCGTGCTGCTATCTTCGTGAGTCGGATGATACCCATGTCCACTGAGTGTTTGTCGCCTCGATCCGTTCGCGTAGTGCGAGCACCTCTATGCCAGTCCTCTTGTCCTGAAAGCTCGTGATGCTTTTCTTCTTGGCCGCGTCGTAGAGGGCCTTCGCGTCTACCACCAGAGCTGACTTTCCAGCGTAATGTGTGTTCTCGTCCTTTGTGATGTCCACGTCTGGGTAGATCAGGGCTGCGAACTCTAAGGATTCCATGCTTGCTGCTGCCGCTTGTGATTCCGCATGTAAGGAAACTCTCGCAGTGCGTCGCAGCTTGAACAATTTCAAGTCGACCACGGTGAAGATGGACTCGAATCCTAGTAGTACTTCCTCGTGGCACGCTAAGATGACGTGCCTCCTTGACTGGATCAGTCGTGTTGAACTCCCCAAGCTGCGTCCGCCATCGCTACGAACGAGATGTCGCTGATCTGGCCGATCTTGTGCATCTCGAGTCCGATGTCCGCTTGTAGAACCGCAGCGTCAGTTGCTGTGGCCACCGTCGCCGTCGGCAGCTGGCCTTGATGAGTGCTAACCTATGCCCAGATGCGTTGGCACGCCTGCGAGCTGGGCCACTGTGGCGCGCCGAGTAGGCCTCGTAGCTGGCGCTTCTCCTTCAGGTTGAGCTACATAATATAATACGACAACCAATGGGTGGATATGGCATCTGATGCAAATTTGTGGAAAAGTCTTGAGGACGGCTTTCTCGACTACATGGAGGACTTCCTTCTTCTCCCTCAAAGAGTCTCCAGCATCCATCTCTCCGATTTCTGCTCGCAATACGTCTTCTGAGGGCCCCGGCCCCCCCGCGCTGCCCTCGTAGGGCCGGTCCCGCTGGACCGACATCGCGCGCTCGTCTCGTCTCGTCTCCCCCTGGTCGTCGCTATGATTCTGATCGATGGTGATCAGCCTGAGGTTCTTGGCGTAGGTGGCCATCTTAGCCTCGATCTCATTGCCGTCCACGGTTTTGCTTGAGGGTGTCTGCTGATCTCTAGGCCGACTCCGCAGTAGTTCATCCTGGCGTACTCGATCCACTATCTGAGCTTGAACTTCTTCTTGTCCTTCTTGGTGATCTCGTCGTAGTTGCTTCGTTGGCTCTGGTCTCCACCTCCAAGCATGTTGTCTACGTACACAAGTGCGAACCCGTCGTTGTTGCCGTCCTTGACGAAACTCGTGAACACGCTCAGGTCTAGGGGATGTTGTTTGAGTCCACATGCGTTGAGACCGTCCACTGCTCGCTGCCACCATCGCCTGGGGGCGTCCACCAGGCCGTTCAAAGATAGGCTGAATGAGCTTCGTGAGCGTCTCGGCGTCAGCTCCGACGAGGTGTGCCGCGTCCTTGGGAACCTTCGTATAGAATTCTCTCTTGCGGTCGTTCTTGAAGAAATGCCGTCGCCACATGTGCCGTCCACAATCTCCATGCGTTGTTTGCTGCAAGTAGTAGGCTTTCGATGCCGTAGGTGATGCCGTCGGTACCTTACCGCTGTAGTACGAAACGTGCTTTCGCCCTGGGCGGGCCGTCGTCGTTCTTCGCCCACTTGAGTACACACTTAGCCTTTATTCTCCGTGCCGGGTCCTCCTGGCTGGTCGGCTTGTGGAACTCACACATGTCGTGGCCGAATAGTTCTTCGAGCTCCTTCCGCTTACCTTCCACGAGTGCTGCTCTCTCGTCGGTTTTCATGTCGCGGGTGGATACGCTCGAGTAGATGTCGTTGAGCTTGGCCTGCGTGCCGTCGAAGTCCCGTCCGAATTGTAGGTTGCTATCCTCCAGTACGAGCTTCAAGGTTGCGAGCTCGTCGTCGGCACTGTGGGGTACTGGTATTGCTGAGCTGTGAGCTGATTCCGCCAGAGAGGATCCTTGATATACCCCGTCAAGCCGTCGGAAGATCGCTGCCTCGGCCACGTCAAGTCGACGTCGGCTCTCGCGGAGTGGGGGTCCGTACCAGAATTACGGGTGGTGGTTTTACAGGTGGTGTTGGCGTCGTAGGTTTCTGTTGTCCGTCTGCTGCGGGTAGTGACGTCGGAGGCATTTGCTCCTCGTCTGGCTGACCCATTGAGCTCCCCTCTGGCATGGCCATGTCGACGTCGTGGTCCTCGTCTGGTGGTGCTGCTGCCGCCGCTGCAGGATGAGTT